GGATCCCCAAAATTCACACCAAGTCTTCACGTGGCTCCTAGGAGCTCCCAAAATTCATCTGAGACCCCCAGGGTTTCCTGGGGCTCCCCAAAATTCACCTGGGGCTCCCCAAATAAACCTGGGGCACCCCAAAGTCACTTGGGATATCCCAGTGTCATCTGGGACCCCCTGAGTCACCTGGGACCCCCAGGGTCACCTGGGACCCACCAGACCTACATGGGACACCCCAGACTCACCTGTGGTACCTGGGACCCCCAGGGTCAGCTGGGGCATCCCAAAATTCACCTGGGACCCCTCTGAGTCACCTGGGGCACCCCAGACTCACCTGGGGTACCTGGGACCCACCAGACTTACATGGGACCCCCCAGACTCACCTGGGACCCCCCAGACACACCTGGGGTACCTGGGACCCCCCAGACTTACATGGGATCCCCCAGACTCACCTGGGACCCCCCAGACACACCTGGGGTACCTGGGACCCCTCAGACTCATCTGGGAGCCCCCAGACTCACCTGGGGTATCTGGGACCCCCAGGGTCACCTGGGGCTCCCCAAAATTCACCTGGGGATCCCCAAATACACCTGGGGCTCCCCAAAAGTCATCCGGGGTCCCCAGAATTCATCTGGGATCCCCAGAATTCATCTGGGATCCCCAAAATTCATCTGGGACCCCCCCGAGTCATCTGGGGCCTCTCAGAGTCACCTGGGACCCCCCAGACTCACCTGGGACCCCCCAGACTCACCTGGGGTACCTGGGACCCCCCAGACACACCTGGGGTATCTGGGACCCCCAGGGTCACCTGGGGCTCCCCAAAATTCACCTGGGGCTCCCCAAATACACCTGGGGAGCCCTAAAATTCATCTGGGGATCTCCAAAATTCATCTGGGGATCCCCAAATAAACCTGCTGCTCCCCAGAATTCACCTGGGGCACCCCAAATACACCTGGGGATCCCTAAAATTCACCTGGGGCTCCCCAAATAAACCTGGGGCACCCCAAAGTCACCTGGGACATCCCAGTGTCATCTGGGACCCCCAGGGTCACCTGGGACCCCCAGGGTCACCTGGGACCCACCAGACCTACATGGGATCCCCCAGACTCACCTGTGGTACCTGGGACCCCCAGGGTCAGCTGGGGCATCCCAAAATTCACCTGGGACCCCTCTGAGTCACCTGGGGCACCCCAGACTCACCTGGGGTATCTGGGACCCCCCAGACTTACATGGGACCCCCCAGACTCACCTGGGACCCCCCAGACTCATCTGGGGTACCTGGGACCCCCCAAACTTACATGGGACCCCCCAGACTCATCTGGGGTACCTGGGACCCCCCAGACTCACCTGGGACCCCCCAGACTCATCTGGGGTACCTGGGACCCCCAGACTCACCTGGGATCCCCCAGACTCACCTGGGACCCCCCAGACACACCTGGGGTACCTGGGACCCCCAGGGTTACCTGGGGCTCCCCAAAATTCATCTGGGGCACCCCAAATACACCTGGGACACCCCAGACTCACCTGGGACCCCACCCTGCATCCTTGGGACCCATTTGGTGGGGGTGGGTCTCAGTTGTGTCCCTGGGGGTCCCTGGGGGGGTCTCCAGGGTGTCACCCATGTCCCTGAGGGGGACCCCAGGGTGTCACCTGTGTCCCTGGGGGTCCCTGGGTGTCTGGGGGGGTCCCTGGGTGTCCCTGGGTTGTTCTTGGGTGTCCCTGGGTGTCTCTGGGGGTCCCTGGGGGTCTCTGGGTGTCCCTGGGGGTCTCTGGGGGTCCTTAAGCGGTGCCCAGCGTGGGCCCTGGAGCTGTTCCTGGGGGTCCCTGGGGGGGTTCCTGGGGGTCTCTGGGTGTCCCTGGGGATTCCTGGTGGTCCCTGAGGGTCCCTGGGGGTCTGGGGGGGTCTCTGGGGGTCCTTAACCGGTGCCCAGCGCGGGCCCTGGAGCTGTTCCTGGGGGTCCCTGGGGTGTCACCTGTGTCCCTGGGGGGGTCCCTGGGTGTCCCTGGGTGTCCCTGGGGGTGTCCCTGGGGGTCTCTGGGGGTCCTTAACTGGTGCCCAGCGCGGGCCCTGGAGCTGTTCCTGGGGGTCCCTGGGTCTCTGTGGGGGTCTCTGGGTGTCCCTGGGTGTCTGTGGGGGTCTCTGGGGGTCCCTGGGGTGTCACCTGTGTCCCTGGGGGGGTCCCTGGGTGTCCCTGGGTTGTTCTTGGGGGTTCCTGGGTGTCCCTGGGGGTCTCTGGGGGTCCCTGGGGGTCCCTGGGGGTCTCTGGGTGTCCCTGGGGGTCTCTGGGGGTCTCTGGATGTCTGTGGGGGTCTCTGGGGGTCTGTGGGGGTCTCTGGGTGTCCCTGGGGGTCTCAGGGGGTCCTTAACCGGTGCCCAGCGCGGGCCCTGGAGCTGTTCCTGGAGTCGCTGCTGCGCAAGGCCTGCCACGTCACCCAGTCCCGCAACGCCAAGACCATGACCACGTCACACCTGTGAGTGCCCCCCTCACCTGGGGCTCACCTGGGGCTCACCTGGGGCTCACCTGGGCCAGGTGTGCTCACCAGGGCTTACCTGGGCTCACCTGGGCTTACCTGGGGTCAGGGGTTCTCACTTGGGTCAGATATCCTCACCTGGGTCAGGTACCCTCACCTGGGGTCAGGGGTCCTCACCTGGGGTTAGGGGTCCTCACCTGGGTCAGGTACCCTCACCTGGGGTTAGGGGTCCTCACCTGGGTCAGGTGTCCTCACCTGGACTCACCTGGGCTCACCTGGGTCAAATATCCTTACCTGGGTCAGGGGTCCTCACCTGGGTCAGGTGTCCTCACCTGGGCTCACCTGGGGCTCACCTGGGTCAGGGGTCCTCACCTGGGCTCACCTGGGGTCAGGGGTCCTCACCTGGGGTCAGGGGTCCTCACCTGGACTCACCTGGGCTCACCAGGGCTCACTTGGGGTCAGGGGTCCTCACCTGGGCTCACCTGGGTCAGATATCCTCACCTGGGGTCAGGTGTGCTCACCTGGGTCAGATGTCCTCATCTGGGTCAGATGTCCTCACCTGGGTCAGGTGTTCTCACCTGGACTCACCAGGGCTCACCTGGGCTCACCTGGGCCAAATATCCTTACCTGGGTCAGATGTGCTCACCTGGGGTCAGGGGTCCTCACCTGGGGTCAGGGGTCCTCACCTGGACTCACCTGGGTCAGGTGTTCTCACCAGGGCTCACCTTTGACTTTCTCAAGGACCTGGTGGGGGGTGTGTTCCCAGGTGTCTCCAGGTGTTATCCAGGTGTTCTCAGGTGTTATCCAGGTGTTATCCAGGTGTTCCCAGGTGTTATCCAGGTGTTATCCAGGTGTTCCCAGCTGTTCCCAGGTGTTATCCAGGTGTTATCCAGGTGTTCCCAGGTGTTATCCAGGTGTTATCCAGGTGTTATCCAGGTGTTTTCCCCCCCCAGGAAGCAGTGCATGGAGCTGGAGCAGCAGTTTGATTTCCTCAAGGACCTGCTGGGGGGGTTTGGTTGTACCCAGGTGTTATCCAGCTGTTCCCAGGTGTTATCCAGGTGTCTCCAGGTGTTATCCAGGTGTTTTCCCCCCCCAGGAAGCAGTGCATGGAGCTGGAGCAGCAGTTTGATTTCCTCAAGGACCTGGGGGGGGGTTTGGTTGTACCCAGGTGTCATCCAGGTGTCTCCAGGTGTTATCCAGGTGTCTCCAGGTGTTATCCAGGTGTCTCCAGGTGTTATCCAGCTGTTCCCAGGTGTTCCCAGCTGTTCCCAGGTGTTATCCAGGTGTTCTCCAGGTGTTATCCAGGTGTTCTCCAGGTGTTATCCAGGTGTTCTCCAGGTGTTTTTCTCCCCCCAGGAAGCAGTGCATCGAGCTGGAGCAGCAGTTTGATTTCCTCAAGGACCTGCTGGGGGGGTTTGGTTGTACCCAGGTGTTACCCAGGTGTTATCCAGGTGTTCCCAGGTGTCTCCAGGTGTTATCCAGGTGTTATCCAGGTGTTTTTCCCCCCCCAGGAAGCAGTGCATGGAGCTGGAGCAGCAGTTTGATTTCCTCAAGGACCTGCTGGGGGGGTTTGGTTGTACCCAGGTGTTATCCAGGTGTTACCAGGTGTTATCCAGGTGTCTCCAGGTGTTATCCAGGTGTTCCCAGGTGTCTCCAGGTGTTATCCAGGTGTTATCCAGGTGTTATCCAGGTGTCTCCAGGTGTTCTCCAGCTGTTCCCAGGTGTTATCCAGGTGTCTCCAGGTGTTATCCAGATGTTCCCAGGTGTTATCCAGGTGTTCCCAGGTGTCTCCAGGTGTTATCCAGGTGTTCCCAGGTGTTATCCAGGTGTTATCCAGGTGTCTCCAGGTGTCTCCAGGTGTTCCCAGGTGTTCCCAGGTGTTATCCAGGTGTTATCCAGGTGTTATCCAGGTGTTATCCAGGTGTTATCCAGGTGTTTTTCCCCCCCCAGGAAGCAGTGCATGGAGCTGGAGCAGCAGTTTGATTTCCTCAAGGACCTGGGGGGGTTTGGTTGTACCCAGGTGTTATCCAGGTGTTATCCAGGTGTTCTCAGCTGTTCCCAGGTGTTCTCCAGGTGTTATCCAGGTGTTTTCTCCCCCCAGGAAGCAGTGCATCGAGCTGGAGCAGCAGTTTGATTTCCTCAAGGACCTGCTGGGGGGTTTGGTTGTACCCAGATGTTATCCAGGTGTTATCCAGGTGTTCCCAGGTGTTATCCAGGTGTTCCCAGGTGTCTCCAGGTGTATCCAGGTGTATCCAGGTGTATCCAGGTGTACCCAGGTGTTATCCAGGTGTTCCCAGGTGTTATCCAGGTGTTATCCAGGTGTTATCCAGGTGTTCCCAGGTGTTCTCCAGGTGTTCTCCAGGTGTTCTCCAGGTGTTATCCAGGTGTTTTTCCCCCCCCAGGAAGCAGTGCATCGAGCTGGAGCAGCAGTTTGATTTCCTCAAGGACCTGGGGGGGGGTTTGGTTGTACCCAGGTGTTCTCCAGGTGTTCCCAGCTGTTCCCAGCTGTTCCCAGGTGTATCCAGGTGTTCTCCAGGTGTTCTCCAGGTGTTATCCAGGTGTTTTTCCCCCCCCAGGAAGCAGTGCATCGAGCTGGAGCAGCAGTTTGATTTCCTCAAGGACCTGCTGGGGGGGTTTGGTTGTACCCAGGTGTTCCCAGGTGTCTCCAGGTGTTATCCAGGTGTTCTCCAGGTGTTATCCAGGTGTTCTCCAGGTGTTATCCAGGTGTTTTCCCCCAGGAAGCAGTGCATCGAGCTGGAGCAGCAGTTTGATTTCCTCAAGGACCTGGGGGGGTTTGGTTGTACCCAGGTGTTATCCAGGTGTTATCCAGGTGTCTCCAGGTGTTCCCAGGTGTTCTCCAGGTGTTATCCAGGTGTTCTCCAGGTGTTATCCAGGTGTCTCCAGGTGTTATCCAGGTGTTATCCAGGTGTTATCCAGGTGTCTCCAGGTGTTATCCAGGTGTTATCCAGGTGTTCCCAGGTGTCTCCAGGTGTTATCCAGCTGTTCCCAGGTGTTCTCCAGGTGTTATCCAGGTGTTTTTCTCCCCCCAGGAAGCAGTGCATCGAGCTGGAGCAGCAGTTTGATTTCCTCAAGGACCTGCTGGGGGGGTTTGGTTGTACCCAGGTGTTATCCAGGTGTTCCCAGGTGTTATCCAGGTGTTCTCCAGGTGTTATCCAGGTGTCTCCAGGTGTTATCCAGGTGTTTTTCCCCCCCCAGGAAGCAGTGCATCGAGCTGGAGCAGCAGTTTGATTTCCTCAAGGACCTGGTGGGGGGGGTTTGGTTGTACCCAGGTGTTCCCAGGTGTTCCCAGGTGTTCCCAGGTGTCTCCAGGTGTTATCCAGGTGTTCCCAGGTGTTCTCCAGGTGTTATCCAGGTGTTTTCCCCCCCCAGGAAGCAGTGCATCGAGCTGGAGCAGCAGTTTGATTTCCTCAAGGACCTGGTGGCCGCCGTGCCCGACATGCAGGGGGACGGTGACGACCCCCACGGCGATGGGGACAGGGGACCCCGCAGGTGGGGATTGGGGGGTGGGGGCACCTGGGGGGCACCTGGGGGCATCACAGATACCTGGGGGCACCCCAGATCATGGGGCATCACAGATAACTGGGGGTCACCTGGGGGGCACCTGGGGGCATCACAGAATAACTGGGGGACATTGGGGGGCACCTGGGGGGCACCACAGGGACCTGGGGGGCACCTCAGGGAGCTGGGGGGCACCACAGATACCTGGGGGGCATCACAGATACCTGGGGGACACGGGGGAGCACCTGGGGGCACCACAGAGACCTGGGGGCATCACAGAGACCTGGGGGGCACCTGGGGGGGCACCACAGGTACTTGGGGGTCACTCTTGGATATTTGGGGGGCACCTGAGGGGCATCACAGATACCTGGGGGGCATCACAGATATCTGGGGGGCACCTGGGGGGGCACCTGGGGGGCATCACAGATAATTGGGGGGCATCCCAAATACCTGGGGGGCACTTGGGAGTCACTCTTGGATACCTGGGGGCACCTGAGGGGCACCACAGAGACCTGGGGGGACACCTGGGGGCATCACAGGGACCTGGGAGGACGGGGGGCATCACAGATAACTGGGGGGCATCATAGATACCTGGGGGTCGCATGGGGGCACTACAGAGACCTGGGGGCATCATAGAGCACTTGGGGGCACCTGGGGGGCATCACAGGGACCTGGGGACACATGGGAACATCACAGAGACCTGGGGGCACCTACAGGGACCTGGGGGTCACATGGGGAGGCACCTGAGGGGGCATCACAGGAGCTGGGGGCACCACAGATACCTGGGGGGCACCTGGGGCGCCACAGATATCTGGGGGGCACTTGGGGGTACCCCAGAGACCTGGGGGTCACTCTTGGATACCTGGGGGGCACCTGGGGGGCATCACAGAGACCTGGGGGGGCACCACAAATACCTGGGGGAGCACCTGGGGGCACCTGGGGGCACCACAGAGACTTGGGGTACCACAAATACCTGGGAGTCATTCTTGGATACCTGGGGGGCACCCCAAATACCTGGGGGGCACCCCAGACACCTGAGGGGTCACCCCTGGTTCTCTGGGGGGCACCTGGGGGACACCCCCAAACCCCCCTGGGTGCCCCCCATGACACTTGGGGGGGTGTTTTGAGGTGGTCCTAATTTTGGAGGTGGAGGGGGTGTTGGGGGTGTTTTTGGGGTGGGGTCCCTAAAGGGGGTTTGGGGTCGTGGTTTGTGTTTCAGGGCGCCGCCCGGGCTCGGGACGGAAGAACGGGGGCCCAGGGCCAAGGGGACCCCAAAACAGTCGAGGACAGACTCAGGAGCAGGAGGTGGGGGGATTTGGGAGGTTGGGGATTT